TGGAAAGAAAATGTAGGAGAAATAAGCAAGAACTCTTGGGCAAAGAAGGAAAATGGGAGGGGAGCAGGGAAAGCAAAACTACTCAATAAATGTTAAGGTATATGATAAATAATGCTTCGGTAATTAGGAATACACAAATGGCAAAAAGCAGACGGCTTATTTAAATAGTAATAGGTTATACTTAGTAAGTGTTTAATATATGCCAGGGATTCTTCTATGAACTTTATAGTAACTTATTTAACCTTACAACAACTGTAAGTATTAGTATCATTCTCATTTATTTAAGAAACAAAAGGATATAAATAAGTAATTTTCCCCAAATCACATAAGTACTAAGTGGCTGAATCAGGATTAAGCTAGAATGATTCCCCCTCAGTTAAATCACTACACTATAACACAATATATTAACATACCTAACTATATCTAAAATGTATACTTCCATGCACAAAAAAATAGTTTCAATCAAAAGAAAGAGGAAGAAATTGGGGAAGATATCTGCTTCAAGTCAAGATGGAGGAACAGGGAACACATCTGCCCCTCCATCAGAAAGAACTTAACACCAGCAGAAATATGCTATGATGGCCCAAACTCGGGACATGAAGCAATGAAAAACAGGGACCTGTAGGGACAGAACACAAAATGGGTAAATCCTGCACTGCTCCAGGCCAGTGCCTCGGGACAGTCTCCAGACCATGGTGCAGGGAAGAGATGAAGAAAAACCCTGTAGACACCCTGAGATGAGGAGACTGTGCTGAGAATCCAAGGTGATCAAGGTGACAAGAGGTCACAGGGCAGAGTATCAGAGAGACACCATTCTAGAGAACCCTAGAGATCTACAGGGGCTCCTCCCTGCGCATTCAGCACATGCTTATGAGGCAAAGGATGAACATCAAGAAAGATGTTCTTCTCACTAAAAAGACTGAAAAAAAAATTCTCATAAACTACAAGGCATTGACTATACAGTAGTGTGAAATAATGAACCCTGTAACAATCCTCAAAAAAATTTAGAAGAATACAAACTATCCATCCTCCAACAAGGTAAGATGAATAATATCTGGCATTCAACTAAAGATTGCCAACCATGCAAGGAAAGAGAAACACACGACTCATAACGAAGTAATAAATCTAAGCAAACCTAGAGTTGACACAGGTATTACAGTTAATAGAAAAAGACATTAAGGGGGGGCTAGGGATATAGTTCAGTTGTTAGAATGTTCGCCTACCCTGCACGATATGCTGTGTTCGATCTCTGGCACTAAATAATCCAGGCATGGTATTACATGCCTGCAATCCCACCACTGGAAAGGTAGAAATGGAGGATCAGAAGTTCAAGTTCATCCTTGGCTACAGAGTGAGTCTTCAAGCAGCCTGGGATGAAAGCAACCACCTCAGAAAAGAGAAAAGAGAACATTCATTCCTTCCAACTTTATTCTAAATGCTCAGAGTTTAAATAAAAATATGGTTCTAATTTTTTAAAATCCCAAATCCAACTTTAAAAAGAAACTCCATTTGGGGGACTGGAGAGATGGCTCTACAGTTAAGAACACTTGCTGCTCTTCTAGAGGACTGCAGTTCAGTCCCAGCACCCACATCAGGCAGCTCACAAGTGCCTGAAACTGCAGTTCCAGGGGATCAAGACACCCTCTTCTGGCCTCCACAGGCACCTGCACACACATGGCATACATTTAGACAGATACGCATACAAATAAAAAGAAATTTTTAACAAAGCTTCATTTGAAATGAGAACTGTATGAGATCAACATATAGTCAGACAATGAAGAAAAGATCAATGAACTGAAAGACAGAAATTACCCAAAATGAAACAGGGAGAAAAAGAAGTCTCAAAATATGAAGAAAACCACCAGGAAGTGTGGAACAGCTTCAAGCAGTCAGATATACAAGTAACCAGTGTGGCTCTCTGGAAAATGGCAGGAGTAGAAAAAATATTTGAATGAATGCATTCCCAAATGTGAAAAAAACCTGAAACTCACAGAGTCAAGCAGCTCAATGGAACCCAAGCAACAAGAAGACAGAGAAAATTATTACAAGGCCAGGTACATGCCTATAATCCCAGCACTCAGGAAGAATGCCACAAGTTCAAGGCCAGAGTGGGCTACATAGTGAGCCCAAAAGAGAAAGAGAAGTAAAGGAAAAAAAGAAAAGAGGAAATTATTCCAGGAATACTGCATAGTAAAAGTACTTAGAATTAGTAATAAAGAGGAAATCTTTTAAAAATCTTTTTGCTTTATTTTTATTTTATGTGTATGTGTGTGTTGTGTGTGCATGTATGCAAGTGCACCCATGTCATGTAATGCTTGAGGACAGGAGAAGGCATTGAACTGCCTAGAACTGGAGTTATGGATGGCTGTTAGCCTCCATATGGGTGCTGGGACTCAAACCCAGGTCTTCTGCAAGAACTGCCAGTGCTCCTAACACCTGAGCCATTTCTCCATCCCCATAAAGAGGAAATCTTAAAAGCAAGGAGGACACTGCAGACAGAGGGAGAGCAATGACAGCCCAGTTCATCAGAAATCACCACACAGGGAGGCAGTGGAACAGCATTCTTAAAGACTGAAAGAAAACTTCGACCTAGAATCCTATGCCCCACAAATGCCTTTCAGCAAGATGTTTTCCAGCATAAAACAGAGCAGCAGATTCCTCATCGGCAGACCTGCACTATAAGAAAGACTGAAGCAGGCCCTGCAGGCATTCCACAGAGAGGAACTATGCCCTGGAAACAGTATCTATGTGGATACAATCTTCTAACTACTACTTAAATTTTCTTAACTGAGAACTCATTGTTTAAGCAAAAATAATAAAGTATTGTGGTATTTTATGTACATTTATGTATTTTGTGTGAATATTCTTCCAAAGCCTTTGATAGTGAAGATCCTGAGGGTCTCTGGGTGAAGGACAGCACTTCACGTTCCAACGCACCCAACCGTCAACATCACTGGACCTGTGAGCCTGAGCATTGCTGGGTGTAGACTGCTTTGCCCCCTTTCCTGATTTTGATCTCATCAGTCAGCCTTGTGTACAAATTCCTGGCCCTGGAGTCCTACACAGCGCTGCATGGCCCCTCCTGTCTTGCTCTCCAGTGTCTCTTCCCACTCTGCTGGCCCCTTACCATCAAAGATTATCAGCCACAGGTGAGTTCATTAACTGGGGAACTGTGTCTTTGATCTTTAGCTTCTCTAAAGGCTGTTCTCACGAGCAGCTTCCTCTGATTCTTCAGACAGCTACCCCATCTACAGTGGCTGCCCTGACCAATTTCCCACCACATCACTGCTTCTCGTTCCACTCAGAATTCTCTGGGGCCTTTTTCTGTTTCGTTATTGTGGTTTTTGTTTTTTGTTTTTGTTTTTTTTTTCTAGAAGGTCTTGGTGACTGTGGCATCCCCGGCACACTGAACGGCATCTGGCACACAGAGGCCCTCCAAAAAATTCTTGCTCAATAAATACAATTTTGTGCTCCACTTTCAAGGGGACATGGACTAAGCTGCAGGAAACAACCAGAATGAAGAACCCAATGTGTGGTCAACAGAAGGACAGGCTAAGAAAAATGTTTACATTTTCTTCAAATATTTGAATGTTCTATCATATTAAGCAGTTTTTGTTCCACATATCAAACTAGTACCAGTTACCCAGAGTTCCAGGGAGCTGAGTCCATATATACAAAAACTATTTTATAACAACTGAAGCTTTTTAACAATAAAACTGATGATTTCATTAGTTTCCCAATACTGAGGATATGCATGCAAGAGGTTGACTAGTTATCTGTCAGAGATCCTGCAGATGAAATTTCTGACAGCAAAGCTGAACTATGTTGACACGGATGCTTAGCATCTTTCATTCTAGGAATATAAGCAATGTTTAACTTCAGTTCCACAAAGGGGTCAACACTCATTATCATCTTTCAGTGTATTCATTCAGCAAGCATTGAGAAACTAACCTCAAATGACTGCCTTAGCCTTTATGAGATAAGCAAAAATAAAACATGACTGCCATTCCATTCCAAGGACTAGCATCTAGAAAAGGAAATAAGATTACTCTAATTCAAAACAGACTAATTGTCATAAGTAGCTTCAATGTGCTTTGGTTCAGTTTCCCCCATATAACTGACTTTATTAGAACTTAAAACAAACCCTTTCATAAATGCTACAGATCAATAATCCTAGGACCAAGATACAGGCCTTAGAGAATCCCTTGATGACTTATGACTGCTATGGGTTATACAGAATCCGAAAACAAAAAGGAAGGACATTTGGAGAGAAGGAATCACTAGAATGGCTGAGTTAAAAAAGCAAGACAAATTCCCAATGTAATAATTTTTTATCTACTAATATACTGATATCCAAAAATTGCACTATCCCTGCCTCCAAAGACAATTTGAAATGGTCACTCAATTTTACCTGAAAACCTCTAGCTACATTGGAAATATAGCAATTCTATCTCAAATTTATCTCCTAAAATTATTTTATTCATTTACCAACTATCTTGTAAGATATAATCCTGGGGAAGTCAAAATAGGCAAAAAACTAGACCACTTCCAAATTTACATTTTGCAGAAGAGAACTAACTGCGCCGATTTAAACAGGAGCCGATCTCAGTCATGCCTCTGGGAGGATCTCTTACTGCCCCTGCCTAAATGCATGGATTTTTTTTTTTTTTGAAAGCTGGTATATTTAACCACAATAAATACATCAATAGAAAATGGTACATGTCTAAGCACCAGTACAGTCTAAAACTAAAGTCCTCTAAACCCAACAAAGTACTTAAAATTAACATTTTTATACAATAAAAATGCTGACAGCAAAAATAAAGCATCTAGCTTAAGAGACAGAAATTGTAACAAGCAATTGTATTTTTGAAAAAGGAAAAGTTTGGAAAGCTTTTTATAAAAATCACAGCAAACAGCTTCAAAAATACTATGAGTACAAAGAGAGAGTGTAAAGCAGAAGTCAATGGTTCCAGTTCACAGAAAACAGACACTCAACATACCACAGTCTGAAGGCATTGGTGCTGCTGAAATGGAAAAGATGACCGGTGTATCTGAACCTGGAAATAGAAATGGGTATCTTCCAATCAGAGAGCTTCCTTCTAATGGGAAATCTGGAAGGTCTTCTATGGTCATCTTCTAGAAGACCACCTGTCACGGAAAAAGGAAAAAACAGAGCCTTTCTACTTTATCTGTATGTAACTTAGAATGACTGCCTTCAATCACAAAAATTCTAAAGGCCTCTTACAGTTAACCTATTGCCATTTTCTTTTTAAAATATTTTATTCATTATTTTTATTTTTATGTGTATGAGTGTATCACCTGCACGTATGTGAGTGCATCTGTGTCGTGCAATGCCACAGAGGTCAGAGGAGGGCTTCGGATTCCCCTGGAACTGGAGTTAAAGACCATTTGTAGCCTCCATGTGAGTGCTGTGAATCGAACCCAGGTCCTCTGCAAGAGCAGTCAGTGCTCTTAACCACTAAGCCATCTCTCCAGCCCCCAACCTACTGCCATTTTCAACCCCAAACTTCAAGAGTCACTTTTACAAAAAGAAAAAAATTCCTCTGAGCAAACAGCTGTTCAAAAACTATGCATTGCTTCCCAACGCCATGAATAGTCAGCAGCACATGTATCGTCTCAGGATCAGGTTCAGGAGAGGCAAACTATAATAGATTAAAAACATTAATTTCCCACATAGGGGTTTAAAACCTGTTTAAAGGGCTGAGCTAACCCAAATGGGTTGCATCATCTTATGGTAACAGGGACACACTGCCCCTGCAGGCGGATCTTCACTCTCACAATGCAGCTGCCATCGGATCCGAGCTCATGCCATGTGCTCAGCACATGACAAGAATCAACTTCAGAATGTTTCCATTATTTTCTCATTTCCCAGAAAACGTCAATGAAAATTAATCATATCACTTTCACAAATATGAGAGATGACTGAGACTGTTCCACTTAGCAATGTGGAGTCTGTTGCATCCTAGCAGAAGGAAGGTCGTGCTGTTAAACCATATCACCCATATGACCTTTCTCCCAGAAAACAGATACAAAGAAATTTGTTCTAAATTAGACTTGTGCCATACCCTACTCTACATCTCAGAAATGACTTAGAAAGCAGAGAAGATGCTAAGCCCAACTAGAGAGCTAAAAACTGTTTCTTCTGCATCAAATACTGTGAATCCTCATGTCTATTTTTAGATATAAGCAGAAATTATATTAAAGACGAAATGATTTTTAGGTTATATTCCGAAGAACACAAGTGAACAAAAACTGACAACTTAATCTAGTAGGGGACAATTCTACACCATATATGACTTGGCATGTGCTTTCTAATACTTGGTTAACAAACCTTATACTAACTCAGGCACCTTTACCAGTCCACTCAGCTCCAAGGAAATAGTCCCTTCCCTAATCTAACTGGTTTCCTCCTTCACTGAATTCACACATTTTGTCTTTATGAACAGGAACTGGTAAGGGTGGTATGCTTTCTTTTGGCTCAAGGAATGTGTATTATAGGGACAGGGATGTTATAAATTAAACCACCTAACCCAGTTCTTGCTATTTTAAAGGAACCTGAATCTTCTCAGATGCTAGAATCGAAGTACTTGCCACCCAATACACACAATCATTTTGATATTAACCTTGCCACATGAACAGGAACATGGCAAAGCTAAGGGATTGGTATAAATAGCAGGAGTGATCTTCCTCAAATACCATCAGTTCCAAACAGTAAGGCACACCACAAAGACAACCCTCCTTCACACTCCATGCTTCCCTATCTCAGGGCTCCTACTGGCCTCTGTTTGCTTAGCAGTAAATTGGAGCAAATATTCTACATCATAGGTAAGAGGCTTCCTTTCAAAGCAAAGAACAAAAAACTGAGTTTAGTAAGTATCTATTAAGGTACCACTACATACAAGGTCCCGTTTTAGACATTTCGAAGATTACAAACATGACAGGTGGACTGGGTATATGTTAGGTAGTTTATACCACTGACAAGCACAGATTATGATTCAGAAAGGGATGCTGTACCATCAATGAATACCAGGAAGATCTGCTATGAGAACTTCAAAGACTTAGAAATGGTGCGCTGATCAAAGTATGACCAGCACTGAGCCCGGGAAGACTGGGAAGAAACTGAGATGAGGAATAGTGTGTGGCTGGGAAAGCAGTCTGACGGGACACTAAATCCAGGGTTTGAGGGCTATGTAGTTCTTAAAAAGACCAAACCACTCAATTTCATGAGCAACAGGGAACGACTAACACTCCAAAAGAGACTGACAAGCTTAAATAGTGTTTTAGGAAGATTGCTTTATGCTCAACTTTGGGACTCAGATTCAGTTATGTTTATTATACTCAATTTGTCAGCAAAGTCATTTAAAAAATGTTTAATGTAATACCCTAATCATCTTTCATATCCTTGTAGATTGATGACACCCTAAAAGAATTGCATCTTGGGGTAGGGGGGCCGGCTCAGTGGAGAAAGCACTTGCTGTGCAAGTGTGATGACTGGAGTTCAGATTCTCAGCACCCCTTGAAAGCAGGACAGGCATAGCAACCTACCTGCAATCCCAACACTCAGGAGGTAGAGACAGGAGATCCCCAGCTAGCTTGCTAGCCTAGACAAATCAGCAAGCTCAGGGTTTATTTACCTTGGTAAATAAAGTAGAAAGCAATCGAGGAAGACACAACATCAACCTCTGGCCTTCACAGGCCACACACTCACACATACACATACCACACATGCAAAAAAATACAACTGTATCTTACAAAACTATCACCTACCATAGGAACTGGATTATCATCTTGAACATATTTAATATTCAGATCCTAGATCCAACGTGGAAAGGTCATCTGGACAGTAAGATGGAATCCACGTCGTTATTTTACATGATCCTTCAAAGCCAGGGAAGCTATAATATCACCTAATCAATATCATATTCTTTGTGTTTCTGCATCTTCATGACATTTTTTCCCAGATCCCATTTCTTTACCTTCTTTGAAAAATATTCTACCTTTATATCACCGAAACCTACACATCCCCATAAGCTTTCACATACTCTCAGAACCCTTCTCTAAAAGTAATTTCTAGATCTGAAGACCTGTGACACCTGGAAGCTTGATCAAATATAGAGATGTGCTGATCTGAGTTGAGCAAATACCTTTACTCCACTTTCCCCTATGGCTAACTGGACAAAACTGATTAGACTATATACGCCTAAGATTGCTTCAAAAGGAATCATCCCTAATTCACTGGGTATAACTACTTCTGATAGTTTTAATAACTGGAACTAAATTAGCCAAACTTTTAATTATATGGGAATTCCACCTTATTTCACCAACTCAAGCTACTTTCTGAGCAAAGGCATCCTGTCACATGGCTGTAATATCTCATGATTTTTCAAGGAGCTCTGATCCAGCTTTAATATGGCAGTAATAAGAACTGTCCACCAAGGACTGGAGAGATGGCTCAATGGTTAAGAGCACTGGCTGCTCTTGCAGAAAACCAGGGTTTGGTTCCCAGCTCCCACACGGCGGCTACCAACCAACCATAACTCCATTTCTAAGGGATCTAACACCCTCTTCTGGCCTCTGTGAGCACTGCACACACATGGTACACTTATCTACATGCAGGTAAAACACTCATACACATAAATTTTTAAATAATCATTTTTTTTAAAAAGTAATATCAACCAACTTCTTCAGAGAGGGTCAGGCTGTTGGGCCTCCAAAAAGAGCCAGCTGAGACCAAGAGACACCTTTGGATTTGTCTGTTTTTATTTTTTGCAGTACTGGAGATTGAGCCCATAGCCTCACATATGCTAGGCAAGCAGTCTACCACTGAGCTACACCCCTAGTCTTTCCCTCAAACTTGTTTGGGATACTGCTCAAAAGCAGCACACTCAAGCTTCTCAACAAGGAGACCCCAGTTGTGTCTACACTGTTGGAATCATGAGGCCAGTTCATTCAATTTCCCATAACAATTTGTCAGGAGTATTTATTTTCATGAGATTCTAAAACAAGACTAAGCAAATAAAGACACAACTCCAATGATCCTTTCTTGTTGCCTACAAAACATCTATTCAGTCACTACATGAGTTGAAAGTATGTGAGTTTTTATTTCCATGAGACACAAAATCAAACCTAAGCAAAGAATCATGCAAAAGTGTAACTCCAATGATCCCTTTATTTGCTACAGACAAAACAGTGGAAACGCAGCTCTAGGCCCCAGAAAGACTATCAAAAAGAATTGCCCTCAAGAAGTTCAGTTATGCATCCAACAAACATTTATTCCTCATTAAGTCCTAAAATGTGTATACCAAAGATAAGGAAACTAGATGTAATCTTGCCCTCCTGTAGATTACAGCCCAGTGCTAGGTTGCTACAAGAAAGCACAATTACTGCACAAGTGATAAGTGAGAGTTGGGTACTATGAGGACACAGATGCAAGATGGTCAGTATAGGAATCTTGGGCCCTAATAAACAAAAGCTAGGATGTTTGACCATAAAGCTACTAGCCACATGTGACTTTTTAAATTAAATTAAAATGCCCATCCTTCCAATGCTCTAGCTCAGAGTTTCCTAAACTGTAGACTGTGGGGTCACACAAGTAAATATGCAATGTCATCAAAAACTGGCAATCTGAAACAATTCAGGTTTCTAAACATACAATCACCAAAAACTAATTCAAAATAAAACACATAATGTATCTGAGGTGTTTCAAGCAATGCTTACCACTATAACTCTAGTTCCAGGGGATCCAACGCCCTCTTCTGGTCGCCTCAGGCACTGCAGGCATGTGGTGCACATACATACATACATACATACACGCAGGCAAACATTCAGTACACAGAAATCTTTTTTTTAAAAAAATCATTAAATGAATTTTCTCTTGGGATTAGGACAGAATAATTTCTGAAATACTTATGCTATCACATATAATGTACTTATGCAAAATGGGATTTTCAGCACTGACAATTATAAATCAAAATATCAATCAACTCTAAAAACCACTGAAGATGCTCTACATCCAACAGTATCAAATATTCAGCCAAGATTTCATTCTTTATGTGAAAATAAACCAGCATATAATCTCATCCACAGACAAATGTGTTTTCATCTTTAATAAATGGTGAAATTATATGTAT